TTCGCTATAGGGCGCATGCGCTCGCCAGCCAGACAGAGACATAGAGACAGAAAGCGAGAAATCACCCCCCAGAGGGGACGGTCACGCCGCAATCCCTTCTCCTCCATTCTCCTCTCGGGATCTTGGGCACGCACACACACGCGCCTGGCGTGAGTTTTAAGCCACTGGGTCCGAGATGCGAACCACGGTCGACTACGTGGGAGTCCAGCAACATAGTCATTACGTTAACTGCTGGTTCCCGCTGACCTCTGTCTTTTCAGGGCCAGAACATGCTGATGATTCTGAAAAAGGATGCCATGAGCCTGGTGAATCCCCTGGACCACAGTCTGATCCATTGCCAGCCTCTGGTGCACATTCGTGTATGGGGTGTGGGCAGCTCCAAGGGCCGGTGAGGACACCTTCATTCCCCCAAGAGAGAGCTGCTTCTCCCTCCCCCTGCAGGATGTGATCCCCACTGATGCTGATCCCTGATACTTGAACCCCTGGACACAGATCCTCTGACATGGACCCAGCACTGCCTCCCCTGCCTGGTCCAGTCCTGGTTGGGGAGGGTGGGCCTGGCTCAGCAGGGACAGATTGGGGAGAGCCTGAGAGGCTGGGCTGATTCTCTTCTGTGCTTCCACATGCTTCTGGAACAGTGACAGGTGAGTGACAACCAAGTGCCCTGAACCCCAGCCCTGACTTACTTATTCTTTCTCTGCCATATCTCTAACCTGACTTCCCAGCTGCCTGCAGACACTACAGACCTTTGCCCATAATCAGCCTGTACCCCAGCCCCATCTCTACCCTTGCCAGGGACTTCGCTTTTGTGGCGGGTGACAAAGACAGCTGTATGCTCAAGTGCCACGTCTTTCGCTGCAATGTCCCTGCCAAGGCCATTGCCAGTGCCCTACATGGGCTCTGTGCCCAGGTAAGGGCCAGGGGTGGGTCAGGGAAAGTGGATGTGGAACTGGGTCTGGTGCTTCTAAGGTAGTGGGTCAAGGTAGCACTAGCCTCCGACCCTACTTTCCCTCTTTTGCTGTCCCTCTCACTGGCTGCATTGTGTTCTAGATCTTGTCAGAGCGAGTAGGGGTCAATGGTGATGCTTCTTGCTGCTCTCCAGACCCTATCTCTCCTGAAGACCTTCCACGGCAAGGTATGGGGCAGGAATGTTGCACTGCATCATCATGCTGCTTTGGTGAAGGATGGGAGTTGGGGTGGATTCTAAGACCTGAATTGGAGGAGCATTAGTGGGTCTTTCTTCTAACATCAGCTCTAACCTGGATCCTGGCCCAAGCAGAAGAGTGGGGCAGGGGTAACAAAGAGCTCCCAGGCAAACTTGCTGTATGTATTTCAGTGGAGCTGCTGGATGCAGTGAGCCAGGCTGCTCAGAAGTATGAGGCACTGTACATGGGGACCCTGCCAGTCACCAAAGCCATGGGTGAGGACTGAGAAGGCTGGATGGGGTGGGCTGCATAAGGCAAGGGGAAGGTGGGTGAGACATCATTTCTTAGTCCTCCATTGCCTTGTGCGGCCTGGGATATATCAGCCTTCCCAACTACGAATTCTTTTTTTTTTTTTTTAGAGAGAGATTTTTGTTATAGGGTGTGTGCACTCGCTGGAGCGACAGAAAGTGAGAAGGTCCCCCCCCTCGGGGGGTATTGCCAGACCACACACAATCCCTTCTCCTCCATTCTCTTGGGATCTTGGACATGCACGTACAAGTGCCCAGCATGGCAACTCGGAATTCTTTTTTTTTTTTTGGAGAGGTTTTTTGCTATAAGGCGTGTGCGCTCGCCAGACAGAGAGAAACAGACAGAAAGCGAGAAATCACCCCCCGGGGGGATGGTCATGCCGCAATCCCTTCTCCATTCTCCTCTTGGGATCTTGGGCACGCATGCACACGTGCCCGGCGTGAGTTTTAAGCCACCGGGTCCAGGATGCGAACCACGGTCGACTAGGTGGGAGTCCAGCAACATAGCCATTACGCTAACTGCTGGTTCCTGGCAACTCGGAATTCTAACCCTAGCTCTAGCCATCCTAATCCCATTTCTGAATCCTAAATTATCCAGAGGAACCTAGACACTCTCTGCAGACCCTTTATTTTTTTTATGACTGGAGACACCACAGTGGGTATGTCCCCTTCAGGCATGGATGTGCTGAACGAAGCCATTGGTACTCTTACTGCTCGGGGTGATCGGAACGCCTGGGTCCCCACCATGCTCAGTGTGTCTGACTCTCTCATGACCGCACATCCCATTCAGGTACCAAAAGAGGGTGAGGTTGGGGACTGTGGAGCGTTGGGTGGGGATGCTGAGTGGTCACTCCTTGCTGCTAGAAGAGCTCACTGGGTCTGGCCAGTGCTTGGCCTTTGAGTAACTAGATCTGATATGGGCAGGCACAGGCAAGTGCAGAGGAGGAGCCACTGTGGCAGTGCCCTGTGCGCCTTGTGACCTTTATTGGTGTTGGCCGTGACCCACACACATTTGGCCTCATCGCTGACCTCGGCCGACAGAGCTTCCAGTGTGCGGCCTTCTGGTGCCAGCCCCATGCAGGGGGACTGTCCGAAGCTGTGCAGGCTGCCTGTATGGTGAGTAGGAGGTAGGAATGGGGGAGGGGGGGTTGCCCTGCGTCTGCTCTGTACCACTGACTGGCATTCACGATTGAGTCTTTCCAGAGACCACAAGCCAGTGACTGCAGGGCTGACTCTGGTTCACTGGAGTTTTGACCCTTTTGCTATTTTTAGTATGTCTTAATTAGTTGCCAATATTTAAAGAGCAGGACATTTCACATAATAATTGCTACTCCTGTTTTAAAGTATCAGGTAATATAGTCATTAAGGCACTGGACTCCCACATGGCTGACTATAGTTTGAGCCCTGGACCCAGTGGCTTGAAAATCACCCCAGGCATGTGTGTGTGTGTGTGTGTGTGTACCCAAAATCCCAGGAGGAGAATGGAAGAGAAGGGATTGTGGTGTGGCCATCCCCATTGCGATGGTTTCTCACTTTCCCTCTCTCTGTCTCTATCTCACTGGTGAGCATATGTGCCCTATGGCAAAAGCCTAAAAAAGAAAGCTGGCAGTGGGTTTATGTGTATAAATTTCAGGATCAGTTGGACTTGTATAGGGGCTATGCTCTATAGGGTAGGTATTGTCTTTCCTGTTTGCCTCATTTAGGCTATTTCCTAGCATCAGTGAACATTCAAGTGTGGAACACTTACATGCTGTTAGTTTAGTTCACTCATTCAACAAATTAAATGTCTGCAGGGAACCAGGTACCATACTTGACCTTTGGGACTCAGTAGTATAGATGGCATAGTCCCTGCCTTCCCAAAAAACTTGGGGTAGGGCAAAGACAGACCAGAAAAAAATTGTACACCACAGGATAATGGAAGAAGTAGCCCCTTCATGGGTCAGAAAAGCTAGTATATGAATTGATAGAGGGGTTGGCAGGTGGTGTGGTGATTAAGGTGCTGGACTCCCACATGGCTGACTGTAGTTGAGTCCTGGATGTAGTGGCTGCTTTCTCATTTTTCCCTCTCTCTCTGTTCAAGTAAAAAATAAAAATAATAAAAGAAATGAAATAAAACAAAAAAAGTGATAGAAACTGAGTTCAGGGCTTTAGGAGGAATTATCTAGGTGGAGGGGAGTGTCAAGCATAGGTGTATCAAGCACAGGTAACCTCAGCTGCGAAAGGGAGAGAGATGTTAGTGGGTTTGAGTATCTGAAAGAATCTAGTATATGTGGCATGCAATGGGAGAATGTAGTGAGAGATCAGGGCAGAAAGAATGGCTAAAACCAGGTCGTGGAGGACTGACTGACATAAGTCAGGGTGATGAGTGCATTTTATTCCAAGCCACTAGGAACCATCAGGGTTCTGACCAGGACAGTGAAGTCAGGTTTTTGGATTAGTATGACCACTTAAGCTACAATATGGATAAAAGATTTGGAGGATATAAGATAGAAGGTAGCAAGGGTCACTAGTACTCCTCTAAGTAATTCAAATGAGAGGTGAGCACAGCAGTTGCACTGGGAATAGTTTGGAGATCCTCTTGACTGTGGAATTCCCTTCTCCAGGGACCAGTTCACACCAGTGTGAGGTGGGGAGAAGTAGCATAGTGGTAGGTGTGGCTAAGAGCTCAGGCTCTGTAGTTGGACAAAATTGGGTTTGGATGGCACTTCTACCCATTTTCTGATGATGTGTCCTTGGACAAGTCATTTCCTCATATGCAAATAGAGAAAATAACATTTCATAAATAACAAAATTAAGGTAGATTATACAAAGCACTTATTAGCACAGTATCCAGCCCTCCTTTAGTGCACAATAAATGTCAGGTTTTGTTTTTGTTACTGAGCTACCTGGGAATGGTGTACGTACTCGACTACCAGCTTTATACCAGATGGAAACCTTGGTCAGTTCCCTGTCCTTCAGAAGCCTTCAGAAGTCCAGGAGCAGAAAGTAGCTGGATCCTCAACATTCCCCTTCTCCCTAGGTTCAGTACCAGAAGTGTCTTGTGGCCTCTGCAGCTCGAGGCAAGGCCTGGGGTGCCCAGGCTCGTGCCCGCCTGCGGCTCAAGCGGACCAGCTCCATGGATTCCCCAGGAGGCCCCCTGCCTCTCCCCCTGCTCAAGGGAGGGGTTGGAGGTGCAGGGGCAGCCCCTCGAAAGCGAGGTGTCTTCTCTTTCCTTGATGCCTTCCGGCTGAAACCCTCTCTCCTCCATATGTCCTAAATTGATCTGGGAGGACTGGGTAAGGAGGTTATGGGTCCATGCCCAACTCTACCCCTTCATTCCCCAGGGGCCTGCAGCCTTTCGCCCCTTGGAGCCTTCTCTGCCTGCCCTGCTGATCCTTGACCGCCCTTTGTTTATTTCCTAATATATTGTTTATATGGATGACTGAGAGGCCCTTCACCCCATCCTGGGCTCCTGGCTCCCCTTTCCCTGGGTCCTTGTGTTCCTTGCCCCTGTCCAGCCCTGGACAGTTGGCTCTACCTCAGCAACACTTTATAACAAAATCAGTGCAAATAAAAATCCCTCAGTGACCTCACTAGGTGTGAGTATATTGGTCCTGGGACATGGTTGGGGGCTAACAACCTGTGTGAGGGTGAGCGTCTTTGCGTCCGTGGTTGGTGTTGGAAGCTAGGCCCTAGGGATTTAATAAAACAGGATGGGATTTCTTATAATTGTCAGAGGGGGAGGTGAACAAAAATCTAAAGAGAGAAGATATGTAGTACAACTAGGAAGTCTCAGAGGGTCGTGGGAGCCCAGGTGAGATGCTTAGCCTGGCTTGAGGCTTTTCAGAAGGCTTCCTGAAGCATTGAATCTAAGTTGAGTACTAGCTATAAACCGAGAGGATAAATGTGGAGATTGTGAGGCCGGAAGATGCAGGTAAAGTCCTAGAAGTCGTCCTGGCGCATATGTGGTCCCTGGGGCAGGTGGTCTAAACTTGCTTCTGAGAGCAAATGGGAGACGCGACCAGAGAGGATGGACGAGGGCTCCTAGAGTGCCGGCTCTTGGTAAAGAGCCCCTACCTCGTGGTTAGGACTCCGATGGACATTAGCTGCAGATTTTGAGTTTCTTAGGGTCCCCAAAGCGGCTCCTCTTGGTTGTGAACAGCCAGCCTCAAAGATTCCAGGCAACCCGCTGGCCCGGGACGCGCCTTAACGGGTCCGCGGGCGCGGCCGCCCCGGAAATGACGCTCTGCCCCGCTGGCCGTGCGGAAGTGGAGATGGCGGAGCTGTACGTGAAGCCGGGTGAGCGCGGCCGGCGGCCTAGGGGAGCTGGGTCTGCGCCCTGGCCTAGGCTGGGGGCGATTACCGCGCAGGGTGCGGGCCCTCTGTCTCCCACTCCCAGTATAAGCCTCCGGTGGAGTCCAGATCCCACTTCACACGTCCCCTCCCTTCCGCAGGTAACAAGGAGCGCGGCTGGAACGATCCACCGCAGTTCTCTTACGGGCTGCAGACCCAGGCTAGCGGACCCAAGCGCACGCCGCTCACCAAAAGGGTCGCTGCTCCGCAGGATGGATCCCCCAGAGGTGCGTGGGGGTCCTATGCACGGAGAATGGGCGGTGCCAGGGATAAGCCTGTCCAGAGGGCCTTTTTTCCTCCGAGGAGTCGTCCCCGGAGCAGAGGTTAGGGTCCCCATAAGGGGCGCAGGATAAATGCTTTTCTGAGACCCCTTTGCTGATCAAGTCAATAAACGGTACGTTGGTTTTAGATTTCCTGTACCTTCATCCTAGGTGACCTTATCCAGACCTGTGGTTTTTAATATAGTTTTTATTTCCAAGTTATTTTCGAATTTTGTTTCTAACTCAGACCTCTTTCTAGAACCTACTAGTGATATATCCATTTGTCTATTATAGACCTTCACTCAGGTATATAATAATATGCCTCTTAAACTTAACATGTTATTCATCCAGTTATTCTGTATTCACTAAGTACCTACTATGAGCCAGGCACTGTTTAAGAGTGAACTAGACTGCAGTGAATTAGACCAAAGGGTTTCTGCTTTCATGGAGTCCACATTATAGCACTGGAGATAGATGAAATAGCGGTAAGGGCTCGGCAGAGAAAGAAAACATGGTGATAAGGTAATGACTGGATTACTAAATTAGGTGTCTGAGGGGTAGTAATTTAAGCTGAAATTTGAATCATGCCAGCTAGGCAGAGATCAGGTAGGTCCAAGATCATTCCAAGCTTGAGAATCAACTAGTGCAAAGGCACCTAGATAAGGACAAGTTTGGCCAAAGCAGAAATGGAGGGAATACAGAATGACTGGAGCATTGTGAGTTTTGTAAACCAGGATAAGGAATTTGTATTTTAATCTATATGAAGTTGGAAGCCCCTGAAACGTTTAAAATAGAGGAGGGCTGGCTTTCCCAGACTTACTCACAGCAGTAAAATGGGCTGTGGCTCTGGAAAGGAGTTCACATTTGGTTCTTTTGACATCTCTCCATTCTCCACACCTTCTCTACTCAGGAGACTGATATAAGGCAAGGTTTCTTAACTTTGGCGGTATTGCTATGTTGGGCCAGATGATAAGGCTTTGTTGTGGGGAACCGTCCTGTGCACAGTGAGATGTTAGTAGCATCCTTAACCTCTACCCAGTAGTACCTATACAGTTGTGACAGCCAAGTGTTTCCAGGTATTTGCCCTGGAGGCAAAATCTCCCTAGTTTGAGAACCACTAACTGATGTATATCTTTAAAAGAGCACTTTGTTGGACCAGCCAGGTGGCATTGTTGTTAAGGTGGCTGGATCCCACATGGCCAGTTGCATGGTTCAAGTCCCAGACTTGGCTTGAAAATCATGCAGGGTGCATGTGGGTATATGCCCCAAACTGCAAGAGTAAGGTAGAGAAGAAGGGATTGCAGTATAGCCACCCTCCCTGGGGCAGGGGTGGGGTGGGGTGGTGGTGTGTGTTTTAACCTTCTCTCTGCCTGTGACCAGCTAGTGCACTCACCCTATAGCAAAACCAAAAAAATAAAAAAATTCAGCACTATGTTTGCAGGGTGGAAAACAAGATTTTAGGGACTAAGCAGAAAGACCAAAGGTTATGGTAATAAATGATTTAATGATGGTTTGGAGAAAGGTAGGAATGGGAGTGGTAGGAATTGGATAGATATGGGATATAGTACAGAGAAAGTCAGTAGGAATGAGATTGCGCAGATAAGAGTGGGAATCAATATAACTTTAGATTCTTTGCTGAATATAATAAGAGTGGAGGGATGGGCCAGCAGGTGGTGTGGTGGATCAGAGTGCTGGATTCCCACATGGCCGACCATAGTTCAAGTCCTGGACCTGGTGGCTTGCTTTCTCACTTTCCTTCTCTCTGTCTCTGTCTCTGGTCAAATTAAAAAATAATAATAAATGGAATTAAATAAGTGTTTTTAAAAAAAGAGTGGAGGGAATCAAGGGAAAATAGCAAAAACATTTAACGGACACAAAAATGGAAAATTATCTGTTGATGATATATATGGTAATATCTTTGACTGGACATATATGTAATGTATTCATGCTGGGAAAATTCCATTTTGTTTGCAGTAAAGATGTACAGTGATTGAATGTAAAAAATTAAAACAAAGGAAGGAAAAAATTAAGAGAAGGGATGGAAGTTTTGGGGAAAGGAAAAAGTAAGTTTTCTATTTTGGCTATGCTTAGCTTAGGCTGCTATTTAGGGAGAGGTCTAGACCAGAATTATGGAAACAAGTCACATCATATGGATTTTTTTTTTTAATTAATTTTTCTGAGACGTTTTTGCTATAGGGTGCGTATGCTCGCCAGAGAGACAGAAAGTGAGAAATCACCTCCCAGGGAGGACGACCACATCACAATCCCTCCTCCTCCATTCTCCTCTCAGGATCTTGGGCATGCACATAAATGCACCTAGCGTGAGTTTAAGCCACTGGGTCCAGGACTCAAACCGTAGTGGACTACATGAGAGTCCAGAGACATAGCCATTATGCTAACTGCTGGTCCCTGCAGAGAGCTTTGAATGGAGTAGGAACCTTTCATCCTAAAAAGGAAAACAACCATAGACGCAAGTAGAACTGGTTATGGGCAGATGAGGGAAAATAGATGACCTCTGTTTTCTCAGTAGGAGGGAGGGTCAGAAGTAGAGATAGCAGGGAAAGGACAAGGGAGAAAACAGAAAACTTTAGAGGATATAAGTTGTGAAAATAGTTGTTCTGAAGAATGGAAACGTGAAGCAGTGTCCAAGCAGCTTGTGCACTTATAAATTTGGGCCTTGAATTTAGAGTGTAACTCAGTCAGCATGGTTCTGTTTTCCCCCCCAAGTACAGACAAGTTGGATTTAACCAGGGAAGTTGGTTGGGTAGGGGAGGAATCAAGGAATAGGAGTGTTTATAAGGGAGTGATTATATGCACCATGAAATCTGAGTAGTTGAGCTGGAAGGGTAGGAGGGATGGTCTCCCAACTGGTATCCTTGTTTCCATTCCTGATGTGTTTTCAAAGAGCATACATTTTTTTTTAAAGAATTATTTTATGTATTTATTTAATTTTAATTTGATGAGAGAGAAGAGAGTGAGAAAGCAAGCCACCAGGTCTGACTCTTAACTGCAGTGGGCCATGTGGAAGTCCAGTGCCCTCAACCACCATGCCACCTGCTGGCCCCCAAGCATACATTAAGAAATAAGTAAGAAATAAGGCTGGTCACATCACTCTGGTTTTATAAACCTGCAGTGGCTTCCCAGAACCCCTGGGCTCAAGACCACACTTTTCTTTTTTTTAAAAAATTTTATTATTATTATTTTTTAATTTGACCTGAGAGAGGGGAAGTGAGAAAGCAAGCTGCCAGGCCCAGGACTTAAACTGCAGCTGGCCATGTGGGAGTCCAGCACCTTAACCACCACACCTGCAGGGGTCTGGACCCCCTGCTTATCTTTCCAGTGACAGCTCATACTACTCTCTTCAGTGCTACTCCCAGCCAGGTAGGCCTTGTTTCTGTCCCTTGAGTAAGATCTTTCCTGCTTCTTAGGGATTGCCCTTTCCTCTACCTCACATGTTTCTTGAAGTCTTCACGGACTGTATCTACCTCTTCCATTAGTTTTCAACTTAATAAAAACAGCTAACTTTATGAGTACTTTTTGCTACACACTAACCCAGCAGCTGTTTGTTTGATTTTTTGCTATAGGGAGCATGCATTCGCCACAGAGAAAGAAAGCCACCTCCAGGGGCAATCACCTCACCACAGTCCCCTCTCTTCCATTTGCTTCTCAGGATTTTGGGCCTGAGTGCACAAGTGCCCAGCGTTTTTCAAGCTGCTGGGTCTGGGACTCAAGTTGTATAGAATGGCCATGTGGGATCCAGCTGCCTTAACTATGACGTCACTGGCTAGCCCATACCTATGTTCTTAATCCTTATTTCAACCCTGTGAAATAATACTGTAATGGCATGCATCCCATTTTATAGAAGGGGAACCCAAGTTCAGAGGTTAAAAATGTAACTCACTGGAGATCACATAATGGGTGAGCTGGGATAAACTTAGATGTCACCTCAGAAGGCCTTCCTTGAATATTCAGTCTAAGTAGTCCCTCTATTCCTCTTTATTATTATAATTTATTATTTATTTCATTTCTTTTTCTTTTCTTTTTTTTTTTTTTTTAAGAGGTTTTTGCTGTAGGGTGCGTGCGCTCGCCAGAGAGAGAGACAGAGAGACAGAAAGCGAGAAATAACCCCCCGGGGGAATGGCAACACCACAATCCCTTCTCCTGCATTCTCTTCTTGGGATCTTGGGCGCACATGCACCCGGCATGAATTTTAAGCCACTGGGTCCCAGATGCGAACCGTGGTCGACTATGTGGGAGTCCAGTGACATAGCCATTACACTAATTGCTGGTCCCAAACCAACGTTCATTTCTTTGTAGCACTAACATAATTTGGTAGTTTTTGTATGTTTTATTCTCCCCCTCTAGAATTTAAGTTCTCTGAGGTCATGCAGCAAACTGACTGGTTTACTTTTCTATCTTCAGTGCCTGGCACATTGTGTGGCACACAGTAGGGACTTCATGAATAACTATTGTTGAATAGACTGTCCTAGAGAGGAGCACTCCTTAGAAAGGGTGAATTTAGAATTGAGCTGTTTCTTACCTATTTAAGCTATGTTGCTTGATCCTGCTTTACCTTTCAGTCCCCACCTCAGAGACTTCTCCTGGGCTCCCCCCAATGGGGCCTCCACCTCCTTCAAGTAAAGCTTCCAGGCCCCCACCTGTGGGGAGTTGTCCTGCCCCCTGTGTGGAGCCCATGAGTTTACCAGTCATCGAGTCTGAGGCTCTGTTGGAGGATGTGTTGAGACCTTTGGAGCAGACATTGGAGGACTGCCGTGGCCACACAAGGGTAAGCCCTGGCACACCAGGGAATAGAGAGGGCTCCCATCCCAATATGAGTGTAGATCCCAAACGAAACCTGCTGATCCTGTAAGCAATGGTTCTTAATCCTACAGTTCCCATCAGAATCTGCAAAGGCCTTCCCAGAAAATGAACATAGGATTCCAGGAGGGTTCACAGGATCTCAAAGACCAGTCAATCCAAGAGACTTGTGGAAACAGAGGATTCAGCTTCTATTAGTGAACTGAAACAGCCCGATTTTCTGTACCTCCAGGGCTTTCAGAGGAAGCCCTGCTTATTTTGTGTTCAGGAAATTTACATTGTGCTCACTGAGGAAGACAGAAACCCCCTTCCATCTCTTATTTCTTAAGATCTCTGGAGGTAAGATCTCTGGAGAAAAAGGAATGTAGTATGACAATTTTGCCTCTTTGGCTCTTAGTTTCCTTATTTATTTATTTTTTCCTAATTAAAAACAATTTTTTTAATTGCTAGAGGGTGTGTACGCTCATGAGAGAGAGAACTATAAAGAGAGAAAGCACCCCCAATAGGGTCACACTGTAGTCCCTTCTCCATTTCTTCATCCTATCAGGATTTTAAGCATGTGTGGACATGCCTGAGGTTGGGATTCAAACCATGGTCGGCCATGTGTGGGATCTGGCTCCCTTAACCACTAGTCTGTTTTAGTTTTGCCAGAGAGGTTTTTTTCTTTCCATCTCCCAACCAGAGAGAAACAGTCAGAGAAGAGAAAGTACCCTCTAATGAGGAACAGTCACACAGTAATCCCTTTTCCATCTCCCTCCTGTTGGGATTTTGAGCACACAGGCATGTGTGCCTGACGTGTTTCTCAAGCAACCAGGTCCAAGACTTGAACCATGCTTTTGGCCATATGGGATCTGCCCTAACCACCAGGCAATGGAGCCAGTCCCCCAATTTCCTTATTTTGAAGGTAACAATATAGAGTGAACTTCTAAGGGTCTGAGAAGCCCCTTCCATTTCAAAATTCTAGCAATACATGGATTTTCTTGGGAGATCCATAGTCTCCCTCAGGTTCTCAGTGGGGGGCTTCTAACATTTGAGCAAAGAACCAGAACTCTAAGGAATAAGTATAAAGTTCCAGGCCAGCAGAAGCAAGTGCTTCCCATGTGATGCTGCCTTCCTCTCCCCTCACTGGACTGGCAGCACTGACTTGGTGAGGGCTTCTCTGTCTCAGAAGCAGGTATGTGATGACATCAGCCGCCGCCTGGCACTTCTGCAGGAACAGTGGGCTAGTGGGAAGTTATCAATGCCTGTTAAGAAGAGGATGGCTCTGCTGGTGCAAGGTATAAGTGAATTCCTTAGTACAGCCTAAGACCCTTGTCCTGCCCTGGTTGGCTGAGCTGGAAGAGGTGCTGAGATTTTGATTAACTGGGAGGGGAGGCATGGAAGCTGTCTCTCTTATTTGTCTGCTTGCTCAATTTCTTAGAGCTATCAAGCCACCAATGGGATGCAGCAGATGACATCCATCGCTCACTCATGGTCGACCATGTGACTGAGGTCAGTCAGTGGATGGTGGGAGTTAAAAGACTGATTGCAGAAAAGAGGAGTCTGTCTTCAGAAGCGGCCAATGAAGAGAAATCTGCAACTACAGATGAGGAAAACCAGGCCATACCAGGCTTCCAATAGGCTCCATAATCCTGGGTGTTCCCCATACTTGCCTCATACCATCTCCTGTACCTTGATATAGGAGGCCTTCTCTCACTTGGCTCCCTCTTACCACCAAAGAGACAATCTGTCTCCCTGGGGCCTCACCCACCTCTGTGCAAAGAGGTCCCACCTGGGCCACAAGAAGGTCACTTGTTACCCATAACATATACATTTCAATAAAAACATCTCAAAGGCAGGCCCTGGGTAGAAGAGATGGCCCTTCCTATACCATACGGCTCCCTTCTGGTGTTTTTGACCGCCCTGTTCCACACACACTCTGCGAACTTGTTTTCCTTCCTCTGTTCATCATGAAGACTTTGCTGGGCATTGTCCCCAAATCACACTGAAAAGCACATCCTTTTCTGGGCAGAGCACCCATATCTATGGATGATTTTGTTTCAGCAAGAGAACATTCAAATAGCATGGGGAAACTTCCCTCAAGAAAAGGCAAGACTGTCTTGTGTGCACTATATTACCCTTTGAATGTACACAGGTACTACAGAGATCAGGACCACAGTGAGTGGGATTTCTGCCATATAGATTGAAGGAGGAAAAAAAAAAAATATTACTAAGCCTTGCCATTGTGACTCTGTTTGATGCATTAAACAAGCTGCTACCTCTTTGTGGGCCCTAAGGTTCATCTAAGTCTTTGAGAACAACAGATCTGGGTGCCAGAGAGGTCTTTTGTAGATACCATGCTATAAGAAAGGGTATGAGGTTTTCAGTGTTGGGATAGGAGCATTGGTACTTACAGGTGGGAAGCAGAAAAGGCACTGGGGGTGGGGAACTGAGGGCTGTAGGCTGTCACAGCACCCTTTTTTCAAGAGTCCTGCTTTGGAAAGAACAGGGGTGGGGCTGCCAGAGAGGCCCACTTCCAGCAACACTGTTTCCTGGAAAGATAGGAACAGCTCTTGGCAAGGGCCAGGCTACTGCTGTTTATGGTTTGGTGGCTCCTGTAGCCTGCCCCCATAGCCTCTCTCAGGCTCTTATTGCTGCTGGAAATGGGCCCAGTGGAAGCTGGGTGCAGAACTGGGGCCCTCTGCTGTGTGGTTAAAATGAGAAGATCGGAATTGAGAACATTGGAGTCAAGGCATTTCTTTCAATGTTTACTAAGAAGCCAGAAGGTGACATACTCCATCCCCCAGTCTCAGACCCTGATCAGAGAGGACTGTGGGTTGAGTCTCAGACCCTGATCAGAGAGGACTGGGGGTTGAGAAGAGTGGCTAAAGACCAAAGAGAAGATAGAACTAAGGGCTTGGCAAGTTGCCCACTCCTATCCCTGGTCTAGCTGCCTCAGAACTAAAGGAGGCCCAGAACCAACAAGTCACTCCCTTCCAGATTAGATGAGGCCAGGTGGCCTTTGGATACCCTAGGAAGAGGTGGTGGCAGCAGCGGCTTGAGGGATCCCTCTACAACTCCATACATGAGGTCATCTGCACTGGATTAGATGTCCATTTCAAACTGTGCGTCATCTAGAGAGAGAGAGAAGTAGAAGGTCTGGTTGTTGGCCTGAGGATTGGCAGGTTTAGCACCAATATAAAATCCCCTCCTGGAATTGATTCTCCACTCTACTTCCAAGGGGCCTTGTAAGGCTGGGGCATTTTTAAATTTTAGGTTCTGCTTTCCTTACCGGGTATCTCTTCCTCTGTCTCCTTCTGCTCCTTCAGCTCCTCCAGCTTGCAGGGCGGGGCTGTTGGAGGAGTTGTGACTCCGGGAATCTGAGGGAGGCAGCAGGGAGGTGTCCGGGCAATGGGTGAGTTCTTGCACTCCAGCAGGAACTTTCGGTCGTACATGATCCTGGTGCCTGTTAAGGGGTATAGAGTGAAGTAAGCAGGAGCTTGGGTACAGAGGTGACTAGGACCCTAGACATAAGCCTTTTGAGGACTGGAATCAGGATAAGGGTCTCTTCAGCCCAGCTCGGTTCTCAGCTGAAGAGCCTTTATAGCCCATAAAAAGATCTCAAAGTCTATCCAAAATGTGGCCAAGCACCATAGAGCATGCAAGACATAGCTGTCCAAGCAGTAGCTTAGGTTTAAGGGAGCCTCAGGTCCTGGTTATAACAGAACCACTAAGCTTGGAGCTAAAAAACTTCAGGCTGCTCTTTAGCACTCTGGCACTCCCTAGCTTTGGTTCACAGGGTGGGGCCTAGCCCTTCTGCCTCAGTTGTATGAGGAAGCTGAGAGTTTCACCTAGTGCTAACACCTGGGCTCAGATCTCCTGCAGGGAGGAGCTGTGTTCTCCCCAAAACAGGTGTCACAGGAACATACTGTTCTTATTCTGACTCCTCCCAGGTCCTGTAAGACTCAGCCCAGCCCAAGGAACTTGGCCCCTGCAGTGTCCTCAAAGGGCCCTGCCCTGCCCTGCCCTCGCCCTCCCCAACACCTCTACGCGGCAGGAACCCCTTGGTCAGAAGCCTGCAAACGCATCGGTCCGTGATCCCAGGCCACTGGCTCAATTGAACAGCTGCCAACCAGCTGTACATAACTTTAGCCCCTGCCCCCAACTGCTCTAGCTGCTGTGCACGATCTGTTTCCCACTGTGACCACGCTCAGCTGGGGCCCCGGCTCTTGTTCACTGGCAGGAATACACAAGGCATCCAGAACCCAAGTCACAGTGAGATTACAATCCAGAGTCATTCGGAAGGTAAACTATTAGATCATTTGGAGGTTTTTAAGAATTGTGTTTGGGCTCCAAACACCCTCTCTCAAAGAAGCTACAATTTGAAGAGCCGGCTGCGGACAAATCTTAGGTCCCTCACGTCCCCACCCCACCCTGCTACTACACGTAGCAAGCAAGGGTTTGTGCCCTGCTGAGGACCCGGCCCAGCCCGCTGACCTCCCGGGGTGGTGGCGTATAGCGTGCCCCCCGGCGTGGTGCTGTAGCAGTCCGACGGCCGCTCCCGGCCCCCGGGAATCGGGCAGCTTGTAGACGTGGACATAACGAGCAGACGGCGCAGGATGGCAAGCGGCCGGTGCAGAGGACGCGGAATGCAGTTCTGAGTCCGACTCAGCCGACCACGTGCGGCCGCGGGCAACAACACTAAAACGACGTCACGCCCGGGGCGGGCCACCTGCCGTCACTCAACCAGACGGCCCCGCCTTACCCGCCAAGGAAAAGCCCCAGGCTCTGAAAGACTGGAAAAGGGTCCCGCGTCCCAGGCCCCGCACCACCCCGCCCAGTTCCTTTAGGCCAAACATTGGCCAACCTGTCAGAGTGTGGCAGCAGCTCAGTTATTTATGATTACAGTTGGACGCTGGGGACAGGTGAGGAACTGCCCTGTATAATTCACTCATTCCTCTTAACAGTTTTGGACAGTGAAACATTATCATTAGCCACATTTCATGACAAGGAAAATATACCTAGAGGTAAATCTTGTAGGAGTGGGAGCTGGGATTTAAGATCTGAATGCATCTGCCTTCAGAGCCTGTACTCTCTTGCACAGCTGTGTGCTGCTTCCCATAAACAGTCAATTCGGGTACAGCGTACAGGGTGAAGAGCTCCTCAGTAACCTGGAGCACAGCAGGAAGGCTAAGGTCAGGGAAAGTAAGTAGGCTATCTGAAGAAGTGAAACCTAGACTAAAGAATGAGTAAAAGTTGGTGCCAAGACAGGCAACAACTGATTCACATCAGTGGAGGTCTGCTCTTTGATCTGTCTGCTACAGCTGACTGAAGATGGGCAGGGGGCTGGTGAGGAGGGAATTAGTCTTTAGCTCTCTGGAAAGAAAGATCAAAGAGGCTCTGGCCTTGGAAAGATTTTTTCATGTAGGTACTGGGATATGATAGGCTGGGAAGAGGTGGTGGGAGTGTTGAGTACTAAGTCCAGTACCTACACATACATTAAAATTCGACTCTGTCCAGTATCCTCTGGCTACCTCAAAACCAATACTACCCTCTCTCCCACCCTGCTCCCCAAATTAAGGATAGACTACATGACTGTATGCTTTTTTGGATATTATGTCAGCTCGGGCTTCATTTTACTTTTCCTTTCTCTGATTTCTTCACTCATTAAATAAACGATATTTGAGAAATCTGTGTTTCTCAAATTTTAATTATACATATAAATCACCTGGAGAGTTTGTTAAAATGAAAATTATGATACAAGTGGTTTAAGATTATGGTTTGTGTGTGTGTGTTTTAAGTTGTCAGAGGGCACTGATGCTCATTAGAGAGGAATTTTTCCATCCCATCAGGATTTGGGGCATACACACATATATACCCAGTATTTTTCAAGCTACCAGGGTCAAGAGTTTTGAACCAGTGCTTATCCACTGGGCTACAGGCTGTCTCCTTTCCTCCTCCCTCCTTTTTTGGAGAGGTTTTTGCTATAGGGCGCATGCGCTTGCCAGAAAGACATAGAGAAACAGAGAGCCAGATAACGAGAAATCATCCCTCAGGGGGGATGGCCACATTACAATTCCTTCTCCTCCATTCTCCTCTCAGGATCTTGGGTATGCATGCACACGCGCCTGGTGTGAGTTTTTTTTTTTTTTTCCCCCTTGGGAGAGGTTTTTGCTAAAGGGTGCGTGCGCATGCCAGACAGACAGACAGAGATAGAGAGACAAAAAACGAGAAATCACTCCCCAGGGGGGATGGCCATGCCGCAATCCCTTCTCCTCCATTCTTCTCTTGGGATCTTGGGTGGGCATGCATGCACACACCCGGCATGAGTTTTAAGCCACCGGGTACGGGACGCGAACTGCAGTCGACTACGTGGGAGTCCAGCAACATAGCAATTACGCCAACTGCTGGTCCCCATGCACCTGGTGTGAGTTTAAGCCACCACAGTTTAAGTCAAACTGTGGTTGACTATATGGGAGTCCAGTGACACAGCCATTATGCCAACTGCTGGTCCCTCCTCCCCCTCTTCTAAAGACAGGGTCTCACTGTGTCACAATCTTTCTTCCTTAGCCTCCAAAGTGGCTGGGACCTGTGTGTGCCACCATGCCCACTCCTTTCAGATAGAGTCTCACTATATTGTCCAGGCCAGCCTTGAGCTCTTAATTATCTTGCCTCGGCCACCCAAGTCAGTGGCATTACAGGTGCATGTCACTATGCTTGGTCTTTAGGCTGGATCTGAGAACTGAACTTTGACCTCTCCCATGGTCCCAGACCATGGAGCACAGCATTTTTGCAGCACATGCCACTGCAACTGGGCCTGATTCTGGATTTGTAATACAATCCCAAGTAATACAGATTCTGCAGACCCTCAAATCGATACTTCAGGTAGCAAGGGTATGAGGTACATTTTATTGTTCCAAAAGGGGCTTTTAAGCCTCTTACAAAGTGGTGCATGCCTACATGAAGTATCTTAGAAGTGCTGGAGGTTACGGCTTAGGAGCAGATTGTGGTGAGCCATCTATGAGGACTCAACTTTTAAGCAAGGTGAAGAATTATTCTGACGTTATAGAAGGTATAGGGTAGAAGACTGAGAGTGGAGAGCCCAGCCTAGTGAAACCAGCTGGGCAGACTGGCAATGCTGTGGGGATGGAGAGAACTAGATGAGACTTGCATACACAGAGGAAGGATAAGGTGACTAAGAGTGGGTAGGGAGGAGGCCAGCAGATGGCATAGTGTACTGCTGGATTCTCACATGGCTGAGCATTGTACGCGCCTGGTGTGAGTTTTTTTTTTTTTTTTCCCCCTTGGGAGAGGTTTTTGCTAAAGGGTGCGTGCGCATGCCAGACAGACAGACAGAGATAGAGAGACAAAAAACGAGAAATCACTCCCCAGGGGGGATGGCCATGCCGCAATCCCTTCTCCTCCATTCTTCTCTTGGGATCTTGGGTGGGCATGCATGCACACACCCGGCATGAGTTTTAAGCCACCGGGTACGGGACGCGAACTGCAGTCGACTACGTGGGAGTCCAGCAACATAGCAATTACGCCAACTGCTGGTCCCCATGCACCTGGTGTGAGTTTAAGCCACCACAGTTTAAGTCAAACTGTGGTTGACTATATGGGAGTCCAGTGACACAGCCATTATGCCAACTGCTGGTCCCTCCTCCCCCTCTTCTAAAGACAGGGTCTCACTGTGTCACAATCTTTCTTCCTTAGCCTCCAAAGTGGCTGGGACCTGTGTGTGCCACCATGCCCACTCCTTTCAGATAGAGTCTCACTATATTGTCCAGGCCAGCCTTGAGCTCTTAATTATCTTGCCTCGGCCACCCAAGTCAGTGGCATTACAGGTGCATGTCACTATGCTTGGTCTTTAGGCTGGATCTGAGAACTGAACTTTGACCTCTCCCATGGTCCCAGACCATGGAGCACAGCATTTTTGCAGCACATGCCACTGCAACTGGGCCTGATTCTGGATTTGTAATACAATCCCAAGTAATACAGATTCTGCAGACCCTCAAATCGATACTTCAGGTAGCAAGGGTATGAGGTACATTTTATTGTTCCAAAAGGGGCTTTTAAGCCTCTTACAAAGTGGTGCATGCCTACATGAAGTATCTTAGAAGTGCTGGAGGTTACGGCTTAGGAGCAGATTGTGGTGAGCCATCTATGAGGACTCAACTTTTAAGCAAGGTGAAGAATTATTCTGACGTTATAGAAGGTATAGGGTAGAAGACTGAGAGTGGAGAGCCCAGCCTAGTGAAACCAGCTGGGCAGACTGGCAATGCTGTGGGGATGGAGAGAACTAGATGAGACTTGCATACACAGAGGAAGGATAAGGTGACTAAGAGTGGGTAGGGAGGAGGCCAGCAGATGGCATAGTGTACTGCTGGATTCTCACATGGCTGAGCATTGTTTGAGTCCCAGGCCTGGTGGTTTGAAAACCACACAGGGTATGCTTGCAAGCATACCCAAGATGACAAAAAGGAGAATGGAGAAGGGACTGTGGTGTGCCCATCCCCCCCTTGTGGTGATTTCTCACTTTCCCTCTCACTCTCTCTGGTGAGCACTTGCATCCTATGGAGGGGGGGCGAGGTGGAGTGAGAGAGAGGAAAAGGAACTAAGTCCATCTTCTGGCTTGAGAGTTTAGAAAGTAGTAGTACCAACTAATACAATAGGGAAAAACAGAGGGGCATATCTTATATTGGGGAATGAATAATATATGTGGAATGTGGAGATAGAACACGGTAAAGAGCTAGATATACTGGTCTGAGAGTTCAGGGGGAAAACTCGAGGCTAGTAATTCAGATTTTGGTCAAGTAAAATCCAAGAGTGAGTATAGGATCACATGGGAACATAGTGTAAGGTAAGAGGCCTGGACATAACATTTATTTAAAGGGAACAGAGGAAGAGGATTCACCAAATGAGACTGAAAAAGAACAATCAGAAATAGGAGAACTAGGAGAGAAGTCTCAAAGGTTTTCAAGATCAGTGTGGAAATGAGGTCTTCCTTCTAATAATCTCTACTACATAAGGACAGTAGCAGTTACTACTACTATAATGACTACTGCTTTGCAGCTAACTAATCTGGACACACTATGTGCTATAAAGACTAGGCAACTACAAAATAGGTAATTGACTTTACAGAGAAAGCCAGATTCATCATCCATGGATGAAGGAACAAGAATTTTTTTTTTGAGAGGTTTTTGTCATAGGGCACGTGCACTCGCCAGACAGAGACAGACAGAGAGACAGAAAGTGAGAAATCACCCCCCAGGGGGGATGGCCACACTGCAATCCCTTCTCCTCCGTTCTCCTCTTGGGATCTTGGGCACGCACACACATGCGCCCAATGTGAGTTTTAAGCCACCGGGTCTGGGACTCGAACCACAGTCGACTACGTGGGAGTCCAGCGACATAGCCATTATGCTAACTGCTGGTCCCAGGAACAAGAATTTAAATCAGTGGGTCAATACTAATTACTGGCTAGAACATGGTAGCTTTAAAGAATACTTGTGCCCAGGTCCCACCCCCCAGAGATCTGATCAATCTGTAAGTAAATAAAGATATCAGCTACCAGGTAGACTGCTTTGGACTTAAACCAGTACCATTGAGATAAAACTGGTGGTGTGGTGGTGAAGGCAGCTGGATCCCACATGGCTGACTTTGTGGTTTGAGTCCCAGACTGAGTGATCTGAAAAACACACCAGGCATGTGTGTGCATGACCAGAATCCCAAAAGGAGAAATGGAGAGGGCACACACCCTCAAGCAAATTAAAAAAAAAAAAAAAAAGATAAAATTGGAGGTGAAAATAATCACAAAATAGGTTTTCTTTTCTTTTCTTTTCCTTTTTTGGAGAAGTTTTTGCCATAGGGCACATGTGCTCACCAGAAAGACACAGAGGGACAGAGAGATAGAAAGCGAGGAATCACTCCCCTTGGGGGGTGGCCACGCCGCAATCCCCCTCTCCTTTCAGGATCTTGGGCATGCATACATACGTACCCGGTGTGCGTTTAAGCCACTGGGTCCAGGACTCGAACCACGGTCGACTATGTGGGAGTCCAGCAATATAGCCATTACATCAACTGCTGATCCCACAAAATAGGTTTTCAGTCAGACTGTATGATTCATGATCTTGTTTTTCAAATTATGTTTTAAGGCCTAGAATCGTGTCCTTTATTGGAGGTGGTCCTTTTTAAAAGAATTACTTACCTAATTTAATATATTATTATTATTTTTAACTTTGCTATAGTGCATGTACACTCATGAGAGAGAGAAAGTAAGCTACCAGGTCTGGGACTTGAACAATAGCTGGCCATGTAGAAGTCCAGCACCTTAACCACCACATCACCTGCTGGCCCCTGGAGGTGGTCTTAAAATACACACTTAGTTTTTGATGCTTGAAACTGCCTCTTTCACCTATTTTCTACAGGAGAGTGCTGCCTGTTAGCAAATGTCAAATCACTGACGGTGAATAGAAAATGGGGACTTATCAGAGCCCCTCACCCCAGGACAGGGTCCACTGGGAAGACGTCACCACCAGTCACACTTCTTGGTAGGAGTGCTTCTTGCTAGTGTCAAGAGGACAAGATGTTCAGACACTGTTTTCCTGCAAGCTTGTTTGCTTCTTCCTGGGTTTACAATGTGGTTCAAAGGTCTTACACAGTGTGACAGAACCACATATACTAAATATTTCTCTCTGTTTGGCTTCAAGTTATGAAAGTCTTTCCTTTAATTCAAGCTAAATTAAATAGGGGATGGTTTCCTTATGTGTACTAGTTTTGAGACAGGGAGGAGGATTTGGTCAGATCTACACCAACAGATGGAAACCACAGTTCCAAGTCCTGAGATTTCTTACCTCTGGTTAGGAGAGGCCACCATTGGCTGTCCAACTCTCTTCTTCGGCCTGGTAAGCTGAGGTGATGGGATTTCCCCTTTGAGAGCAGGGACTGAAGAAAGCAGACTGGCCTATAAAAGGGCAAGTCAGCACACTGTAGCCACAATAGATTTAAAGGGTTTTAAAACATCAATAATATTTATTGGTGGTGGAATTTTATTACACTGAATGTTACTTGAAATAAGTGGGTCCAGAAACCTTGATGACATAGTTTTATTCCTTGAAAGAGCTTTTACTCTCTTGAGGTTTGATCTATGCCTTAGTAGGATGTTTTCTAATGACTTTAGGGCTCATTATGGATGTATGTTTTCTTCCGCCTCCACTAAAACCTCGAAATCAATACTGGCCCCCACCACAGCAGGCTTATGATTTCCTATCAGAACCAATGCTAGGGGTTCTCAAACCTCGCCACTAAATATTCTGATGGCTTCCAGTATTTCCATACTTCATATTCTCATTCACAAGAAAAAGAAAATTGGTGTCAGAACTAAAAACTTTTTAATTCACTTAAGTTCAATTTCCTTTTCAGATGAGGAAAGTGAAGACCAAAAAGTAAAATGATTTGCCTAAGATCACATAGCTTCAAGTAGTAGAAATAAAAAGAGAATTTAAGCTTCTGACTCCTGATGATTGAACCCATGCTGCCTCCCCCCATATCCCCTGTACATTTTGAAAGTAATTAAGTTCTTACCTGAACTAGGTTTTATCCAATGTTCAAGTTGATAAAATAGCAGTAAAGTAATGCCAGGAAGAGGCAGGCAGAGGAAGAAGAGATTATAGCAGGCGAAATGGGGTTGGGAGTAGGCTACCAGGATCCAAATAATCAGAAAGAAAGGAAGGCAGTACTGGTAAGAGGGAAGGGAGAAGGGTATCCTAAAACACTACTCCCAGCTACACAACTCCAGTTTCTTCCTAATTCTCTCAAGTATTTCTCTTAATGGCTCCCTTTCTCTTCATGCATTCTAATTCCTGATCTGAGATATAATTTCTCATCTTGTCCTCAAGGTGCAGAATATAGATTTTAAGGGCTCTTCTAGATAATTAAAATATATTTTAAATAGTTAAGACAGAACAAAACTCACCTTTTTGTCCCACTGAATAATTTAATATTATCTCTTACTAGTGTATATTTCATCAAAAGTAGTTTGATTCATTTAATTAATTTCATGATTTTTTGGGAGGAGAGGAGGCTAGTATTAAGTGGCAACAGCAAGATATTTAATTGATCTGAGAGGTCTTTTGAAAATACTTGACATGGTTATTGACTACTACAAAGGCAGTATCTTCAAAACTAGTGATATTATCCTTTCCAAATCCATTCAAAATAGAAAATAATAAATGGGCTTAAGGAAGTTTTCTCATATGGAAGACTAAAGAATCAGGTCTGGTGCTGGCTTTAGAACCAGGGCAGAGAACATTCCTGTTGGTATATGAGTTGAAAAGTGCTGTTTGTATGGTTCTGTGCTTAGTCACTACTTCTTTTCTATGCATCCTCTTTTGGTTTTATATGAATTTTGGCTTCTCTATTAGCCCCAAACATTTTCTTGTTTTATTTTTTATACTACCTATACATACGACCAGGAAATTTAACTATATTAAAACATGAACTAGTTGGTGAGTGTATTTTTCAGTGGTATAATTTTTCCTTCTCTATTGCATCAGATTCTTGGCATAGCCTATGGTTTGGCCAAAGCAACCCATCCCAGTGTTCCTGTGTTTAGCTTATTAAACATATTGACTCTTAATACTTGAGGCCATGGAACTAAGCCCAGAATTAGTCACATATTTATAAACATTACTCAGCCGATTCAACAATACACAGAAAGACAGGAATCAATCCGTCTTATGTCCCAACTCAAATAAAGTACCTATAATCAAATACATATGTTAGATTAAAATGTCAGGAAGCACAAAAAGAACCTGAAATTGATGACTTGGTTGTCCCCAAGTTTGTTCAGCATCATATGACTTAAATCCAATTGTTCTTATTGACATATTCATGATCCATTAAGAATGAAACCTATCAGTGGCCTACTTGCTAAAGTCAGATAAGACACTATCAGGGCTCAAAACTTTCTCACATGTAAAATTATATGGGAGGGAACAAGGGATGTTTTTACACAGAATAAAAAGACAACTAGTTTTAAAAGTGCTTTTTCAAGGCAGTCTAAGAAAGGACCCTAAAATGTGAAATGTGAGAAGCCTATTACCAATAAAGTATTAACAATCTGGTTCAATATGATCGTGGATTAGGTGGTACCTGCATGACCACTGAAAGGATCACACCCCACTTCTAAACACTGTTCATCTTTTTATTGAATATTCTGGTAAATATTTCACATTAATACAGGCTACATTAAGTAGAGCCACTATATGACAAGAAATTTACTCACTTTTTCCTTTTAAGTATGTAAACAATTATACATGTATTTACCACCCTAAAAGGTTGAAACACGTAATCATCTAATTCTCTTCTGCATACAAGTAGCATTCAGTATGTTTAGCCAAAAGCTCTAAGTTCATCTGATCTTAAGTTGAAAATGGCTAAACTAACCAGAGAACATAATCAGGTGGATAGGAAATCAATTTGTTCTTATACAATGGGCAATCAAATTTCCACTGCTAAAGCCTCAGAGAAAATTTCTTAGGCACATTGAAAAAAAAATCCCCAGGGTTCTTCCAAGGTCATAGGTTTCTCAAACAAGGCTAAAGAGTAAAGACCTTCTAACTTAGTTGACATATTTGAGATGCATGTTTCCAATATGAGGTGCCCACGTGCCAGGCCAAATCTGAAAAGGGGGAGGAAAAATTGGAATTTCTAATTAGGAATCTTTAGACATTTACAAAATGAATATATAAATGCAATGGTAATTCACTGTTTCTGCCTAGGAAGAATATACATACATGAAATAAAATGTTTAGTAGCATCATCTTGATACTGAAAAACTTAATTCAGATCAAGGTGGTCAGTCATGACTCTTGATATTCAGAACTTATACTATCGACAAAAGAATGACATGACAAATTTCAGAAATAAGAGAATTAGGCCCATTTTACCTGCTGGGCATCAGTGCATTCAGTTGAATTTTGAATCACTTTTATCATAGGGTTCCAAGCAGGATCTGGGTTGTGAAGTCCATTAAACAGAGGGCCTCCTGGAACATCAGCAAGCTGAGGATGTGAGGGTATTATGGTGCCTCCGTACATGGAAATAGGCAGACCCTAAAATAGCAGGAAAAAAGGTTTTAATTATGAAGTGATTATAAATAATGATTCCACAGTGATACTTTAGACCTCTCTAGTTTCCCTCCAAAGGCTCCTATAACTATAGCATGGTAAAGTATTTAAAAATCAAAGTATTTATCTGCATCTGCAATGTTTTTCAATAGAAGAAAGGGGGGGGGGACCAGCAGATAGTGTAATGGTTACATTGCTGGACTCCCATGTAGTTGACCATGGTTTAAGTAGCGGACTCCGTGGCTTAAAACTCATGTCAGGCACGTTGTGTGCACAAAGTCCCGAGAGGTGAATGGAGGAGGGATTACAGTGTGGCCATCCTCCCTGGGGGGTGATTTCTCTTTCTCTCCTTCTCTCTCTCCGGCGAGCACCCTTTTAGAGGGCAAAAATCTCTCTCTAGGGGACCAGCAGATGGAGTAATGACTACATCACTGGACTCCCACTTGGTCCACGGTGGTTCAAGTCCTGGACCTGCTGGCTTAAACTCACGCCGGGTGCATGTGGGTGCATGCCCAAGATCCTGAGAGGAGAATGGAGGAGAAGGGGTTGAGGCGTGGCCACCCCTCTGGGAGGTGATTTCTCACTTTCTGTCTCTCTCGCTTTCTGGTGCACACATGCGCCTTATAGCGGGAGGAGGGGGACCTCTCAAAAAAAAAAATAAGGAGGCGGAAAGGGAGAAAATAAATCCAATATCAAATCACCAAGAAATTTCCTTATTTGATGAAAACATTTAATACCCTAATTTCACCATATTTTAGTTTCACAAATGAACTTAATGCTAAGAAGAAAAGAGGAACTCTACATGATTTATTGCAGCCCTAATCTGGCTTTAAGTCAGCCAAGAAGCCGTAAGAGCAGACAAGAAGGAATCAGAGCTAACATCTAGCTTTTTAGAGAGACAGAGGCCTACCTCAAAACTGTGGGAGCAGAACACAAAATAGCAAAACCCGAATCCCTCAGGTGTTTTAGGGGGATGTCTCCAATATAGTTTAGGGCTAACTAAAATGGACAATACTACCCACTCTTAAAATGAACAAAAGATTTGGCAATATCATGGAAACAAGAGGGAGAATTATTTCAGTATACAAATTATTCTTTAACATGTGACTATATTGGCTGGCAAAGTGTTGAACAAATTCAATGATGTTTGTTAACTCACTTTAGAAAAATCCACAAAACCGCTTGCCATAGGCTGATGAAAAATGTTAGAGGGGGCTACCATTCCAGAATCATCTCTCTCCATTGGTTGATGCTGGGAGAATGTGCTTGGGTCTGATAATTGTTGATGCATGGGGTGGTTCCCTAACACAGACTGCGACCAACCTGATAAGCCTTCTAGAAAGAAAAAAATGAAAATAAAGTTTGACATTTATTTGGATAAAATCACAAAGTATTACCACTTTATTCTTTTTCTCATACTAAATTTTATTAAAATCATTCCTCTGAACAGCTCAGAGCATATTTACTCAGTTTTGCAAGCCAAAAAAACCCAAAGAACAAAAAACCAAGTTCCTGAAAAACTTCCAGAATAAGTCTTCAGAATATCCCAAACACTCCACCTTGTCTTTCAAAAGATTGAGTGCTCTCTGAAAGAACTAAAATAACCGTTGCATTCTATACTGGAAAGCTAATGAAAGAAAGAAGTATACTTTGAATATTGCCTTCATGATCATCCATTTAACACCCCAACAAGCACTCTAGACTCTGAGATTGAATGGAATTTCTCAAGTGCAATATAAGGAACCAGCAGATGGCATAATGGTTATGTCACTAGACTCGCACATAGTTGACTGCGGTTTGAGTCCTGGACCCAGAGGCTTAAATTCACACCAGGCAGGTGTGCGTGCATATTCAACATCCCAAGAGAAGAATGGAGAAGAGATTGTGTTATGGCCATCCCCCCTGGGGATTTCTATTTTTCTGTCTCTCTGGCGAGCCCACACGCCCTATAGCAAAAATCTCTTAAAAAAAAAACCAAAAAACAAACAAACAAAAAAACAGTATAATATGAATACCCTTCCCTAATTTAATGTTAAGTATAGCAACTAGGTTTTTTTTTTTTTTTTTCCTTTTTTAAGGAACTAAGTTTTAATGGCTAACTCTATTTACTCAAGATACCCCTCCATAGAGAGGAAAGGTAACTGTACCTGACACAGCATTGACACCAAATGACCAGATTCCACTGTGTCCAACAGGAGCGACAAAACTGGTCCCTACAGGGGCTTGTGCAACGGACCCTCCTTGCCGAATTCGGGCCAGTCTCTCTGTTCCAATGGGAGGAGGTATCTTTCGATCTTGACCGGCACTGCCTCCTTTTGGTTGGCCCAATGTTGGTGGAGCAGAAGTGGCTGAAAGAGGTGAAGATGATCCCGAAGAAACAGATGGAATAGGAGAATCACCTGGTGGCAAAATATTTCTCTATTGTTTTATTACATATAAAAACTATAAAATATGAGAAACCTTGTTGGAAAGATCTACTCCACAACATTGGTTCTGTAAAGAAAATTTCATTTTATGAGTCCCGTAGGCGTAGTGGTTAAGGTGCTGGACTCCCACACAGCCTACTCTGGTTTGAGTCCTGAACCTGGTGGCTTAAAACTCATGCTGAGGATGCGTGCATGCGTGTGTGTATGCATTCGTGTCCAAAATCCTGAGAGGAAAATGGAGGGAAAAGGACTGTGGTGTGGCCATACCCCAGGGGGTGTTTTCTTACTTTTTGTCTTTCTATGTTTCTCTGTTGAGCGTCCACGCCCTCTAGCAAAAATCACTCTCAAAAGAAGGGGAAAATTTCATTTTATACTAACATTTAAATGAAAATATTAAAATTTCGATAAATATTACCCTACACTTTATCTGCCTATAGTAAGAATAAACAAATAGTCATCATTTCAATTTCCCAGTCATGGAACTAAGCCCAGAATTAGTCACATATTTATAAACATTACTCAGCCGATTCAACAATACACAGAAAGACAGGAATCAATCCGTCTTATGTCCCAACTCAAATAAAGTACCTATAATCAAATACATATGTTAGATTAAAATGTCAGGAAGCACAAAAAGAACCTGAAATTGATGACTTGGTTGTCCCCAAGTTTGTTCAGCATCATATGACTTAAATCCAATTGTTCTTATTGACATATTCATGATCCATTAAGAATGAAACCTATCAGTGGCCTACTTGCTAAAGTCAGATAAGACACTATCAGGGCTCAAAACTTTCTCACATGTAAAATTATATGGGAGGGAACAAGGGATGTTTTTACACAGAATAAAAAGACAACTAGTTTTAAAAGTGCTTTTTCAAGGCAGTCTAAGAAAGGACCCTAAAATGTGAAATGTGAGAAGCCTATTACCAATAAAGTATTAACAATCTGGTTCAATATGATCGTGGATTAGGTGGTACCTGCATGACCACTGAAAGGATCACACCCCACTTCTAAACACTGTTCATCTTTTTATTGAATATTCTGGTAAATATTTCACATTAATACAGGCTACATTAAGTAGAGCCACTATATGACAAGAAATTTACTCACTTTTTCCTTTTAAGTATGTAAACAATTATACATGTATTTACCACCCTAAAAGGTTGAAACACGTAATCATCTAATTCTCTTCTGCATACAAGTAGCATTCAGTATGTTTAGCCAAAAGCTCTAAGTTCATCTGATCTTAAGTTGAAAATGGCTAAACTAACCAGAGAACATAATCAGGTGGATAGGAAATCAATTTGTTCTTATACAATGGGCAATCAAATTTCCACTGCTAAAGCCTCAGAGAAAATTTCTTAGGCACATTGAAAAAAAAATCCCCAGGGTTCTTCCAAGGTCATAGGTTTCTCAAACAAGGCTAAAGAGTAAAGACCTTCTAACTTAGTTGACATATTTGAGATGCATGTTTCCAATATGAGGTGCCCACGTGCCAGGCCAAATCTGAAAAGGGGGAGGAAAAATTGGAATTTCTAATTAGGAATCTTTAGACATTTACAAAATGAATATATAAATGCAATGGTAATTCACTGTTTCTGCCTAGGAAGAATATACATACATGAAATAAAATGTTTAGTAGCATCATCTTGATACTGAAAAACTTAATTCAGATCAAGGTGGTCAGTCATGACTCTTGATATTCAGAACTTATACTATCGACAAAAGAATGACATGACAAATTTCAGAAATAAGAGAATTAGGCCCATTTTACCTGCTGGGCATCAGTGCATTCAGTTGAATTTTGAATCACTTTTATCATAGGGTTCCAAGCAGGATCTGGGTTGTGAAGTCCATTAAACAGAGGGCCTCCTGGAACATCAGCAAGCTGAGGATGTGAGGGTATTATGGTGCCTCCGTACATGGAAATAGGCAGACCCTAAAATAGCAGGAAAAAAGGTTTTAATTATGAAGTGATTATAAATAATGATTCCACAGTGATACTTTAGACCTCTCTAGTTTCCCTCCAAAGGCTCCTATAACTATAGCATGGTAAAGTATTTAAAAATCAAAGTATTTATCTGCATCTGCAATGTTTTTCAATAGAAGAAAGGGGGGGGGGGACCAGCAGATAGTGTAATGGTTACATTGCTGGACTCCCATGTAGTTGACCATGGTTTAAGTAGCGGACTCCGTGGCTTAAAACTCATGTCAGGCACGTTGTGTGCACAAAGTCCCGAGAGGTGAATGGAGGAGGGATTACAGTGTGGCCATCCTCCCTGGGGGGTGATTTCTCTTTCTCTCCTTCTCTCTCTCCGGCGAGCACCCTTTTAGAGGGCAAAAATCTCTCTCTACGGGACCAGCAGATGGCATAATGACTACATCACTGGACTCCCACTTGGTCCACGGTGGTTCAAGTCCTGGACCTGCTGGCTTAAACTCACGCCGGGTGCATGTGGGTGCATGCCCAAGATCCTGAGAGGAGAATGGAGGAGAAGGGGTTGAGGCGTGGCCACCCCTCTGGGAGGTGATTTCTCACTTTCTGTCTCTCTCGCTTTCTGGTGCACACATGCGCCTTATAGCGGGAGGAGGGGGACCTCTCAAAAAAAAAAATAAGGAGGCGGAAAGGGAGAAAATAAATCCAATATCAAATCACCAAGAAATTTCCTTATTTGATGAAAACATTTAATACCCTAATTTCACCATATTTTAGTTTCACAAATGAACTTAATGCTAAGAAGAAAAGAGGAACTCTACATGATTTATTGCAGCCCTAATCTGGCTTTAAGTCAGCCAAGAAGCCGTAAGAGCAGACAAGAAGGAATCAGAGCTAACATCTAGCTTTTTAGAGAGACAGAGGCCTACCTCAAAACTGTGGGAGCAGAACACAAAATAGCAAAACCCGAATCCCTCAGGTGTTTTAGGGGGATGTCTCCAATATAGTTTAGGGCTAACTAAAATGGACAATACTACCCACTCTTAAAATGAACAAAAGATTTGGCAATATCATGGAAACAAGAGGGAGAATTATTTCAGTATACAAATTATTCTTTAACATGTGACTATATTGGCTGGCAAAGTGTTGAACAAATTCAATGATGTTTGTTAACTCACTTTAGAAAAATCCACAAAACCGCTTGCCATAGGCTGATGAAAAATGTTAGAGGGGGCTACCATTCCAGAATCATCTCTCTCCATTGGTTGATGCTGGGAGAATGTGCTTGGGTCTGATAATTGTTGATGCATGGGGTGGTTCCCTAACACAGACTGCGACCAACCTGATAAGCCTTCTAGAAAGAAAAAAATGAAAATAAAGTTTGACATTTATTTGGATAAAATCACAAAGTATTACCACTTTATTCTTTTTCTCATACTAAATTTTATTAAAATCATTCCTCTGAACAGCTCAGAGCATATTTACTCAGTTTTGCAAGCCAAAAAAACCCAAAGAACAAAAAACCAAGTTCCTGAAAAACTTCCAGAATAAGTCTTCAGAATATCCCAAACACTCCACCTTGTCTTTCAAAAGATTGAGTGCTCTCTGAAAGAACTAAAATAACCGTTGCATTCTATACTGGAAAGCTAATGAAAGAAAGAAGTATACTTTGAATATTGCCTTCATGATCATCCATTTAACACCCCAACAAGCACTCTAGACTCTGAGATTGAATGGAATTTCTCAAGTGCAATATAAGGAACCAGCAGATGGCATAATGGTTATGTCACTAGACTCGCACATAGTTGACTGCGGTTTGAGTCCTGGACCCAGAGGCTTAAATTCACACCAGGCAGGTGTGCGTGCATATTCAACATCCCAAGAGAAGAATGGAGAAGAGATTGTGTTATGGCCATCCCCCCTGGTGATTTCTCGTTTTCTGTCTCTCTGGCGAGCACACACGCCCTATAGCAAAAATCTCTTAAAAAAAAAACCAAAAAACAAACAAACAAAAAAACAGTATAATATGAATACCCTTCCCTAATTTAATGTTAAGTATAGCAACTAGGTTTTTTTTTTTTTTTTTCCTTTTTTAAGGAACTAAGTTTTAATGGCTAACTCTATTTACTCAAGATACCCCTCCATAGAGAGGAAAGGTAACTGTACCTGACACAGCATTGACACCAAATGACCAGATTCCACTGTGTCCAACAGGAGCGACAAAACTGGTCCCTACAGGGGCTTGTGCAACGGACCCTCCTTGCCGAATTCGGGCCAGTCTCTCTGTTCCAATGGGAGGAGGTATCTTTCGATCTTGACCGGCACTGCCTCCTTTTGGTTGGCCCAATGTTGGTGGAGCAGAAGTGGCTGAAAGAGGTGAAGATGATCCCGAAGAAACAGATGGAATAGGAGAATCACCTGGTGGCAAAATATTTCTCTATTGTTTTATTACATATAAAAACTATAAAATATGAGAAACCTTGTTGGAAAGATCTACTCCACAACATTGGTTCTGTAAAGAAAATTTCATTTTATGAGTCCCGTAGGCGTAGTGGTTAAGGTGCTGGACTCCCACACAGCCTACTCTGGTTTGAGTCCTGAACCTGGTGGCTTAAAACTCATGCTGAGGATGCGTGCATGCGTGTGTGTATGCATTCGTGTCCAAAATCCTGAGAGGAAAATGGAGGGAAAAGGACTGTGGTGTGGCCATACCCCAGGGGGTGTTTTCTTACTTTTTGTCTTTCTATGTTTCTCTGTTGAGCGTCCACGCCCTCTAGCAAAAATCACTCTCAAAAGAAGGGGAAAATTTCATTTTATACTAACATTTAAATGAAAATATTAAAATTTCGATAAATATTACCCTACACTTTATCTGCCTATAGTAAGAATAAACAAATAGTCATCATTTCAATTTCCCAGTTGAACTGAACAAGGCTAGAAAGGAAGGCCACATTTATTCTTACTCTAGTTATAGATAATCTAAAAAAAAAAAAGTGGCAATATACTTGTCACATTGGGACCAGGAGATGGCGTAATGGTTATGTCGCTGGATTCCCAATGGCTGACTACAGTTCAAGTCCTGGACCTGGACGTGGTAGCTTAAAAATCACATCTGGTGTGGGGACCAGCCGTTAGCACAATGGCTAGGTCGCTGAACTCCCATGTATAGACCGTGGTTCAAGTCTCGGACCCGGTGGCTTAAACTCACGCTGGGTGCATGTGCATGTGTGCCTAGGATCCCAAGAGGAGAATGGAGAAGGGACTGTGGCGTGGCCATCCCCCCTGGGGGGTGATTTCTCGCTTTCTGTCTCTCTCTGTCTTTCTGGAGAGCGCACGTGCCCTATAGCAAAAAAAAAAAAAAATCCATATCTGGTGTGTTGGTGTGTGTGCCCAAGACCCCAGGAAGAAAATGGAGAAGGGACTGCAGCATGGCCAACCCCTAAGGAGGGGATAATTTCTCATTTTCCTTCTCACTGTGTCTCTCTTTCCAGCAAAAGCACACACCCTGAGGCAAAAACCTCTCAAAAAACTAAAACAAAACAACCTATCAAATTTCCTGGAAAACACCGGGTTTCCTTTATAATTTTTTATTAATGTTTTTATTTTTTTTCCCTGTCTGCAGTCCTTTTTTCCCCCATAACAAAGAGGTTAAATGTTAGCAAAGCACTGTAGGATTGAGTTCACAGCATTGTTGCTTAATGAGATTCTTAAGTAATTTGGGTAGTTTTCTTTGTAAAAAGGGTTAATACTCAAGACCAGCAGGTGGCATCGTGGTTAAGGTG